TATAATGAAGTAATTTTTAATCTAAGATAAGATGAATCTTCTTCCTAAATCCCAGAGTTTGATACTTTCTCTATACATCTCTATATATATCTATCCTGCACATCAATAGCAAAGCAGTAAAAGGAAACAAGTTGCTCTAATAACCTCTGTTTATGCCATAAATACATTTTCAATGTAATGGATTGTAATAGTTGTACGTTGTAATGGAGAACTGTGATATTAGTACCGCTGTCCGAGTACTTCATCTACCACTGCGTGATAATTTACCTCAATACTTGTTTTTATGGGAAAGTCTGAGGCTGCTTCCCTTACATGAACAGGCTGTAAAACGTCTAATAAAGTTCAACAGCTACATGTTAAAGACCTAAAAATAAAAGAGCCTTGATGTCTTTGATGTGTACATGCAAATCTGCACACTAAAATATCCTATTCATCCTCCTCATATGCTTTACAAAGAACATAGCCTGGAAACAGCCTTCAAATTCTTAAACTGCTAGCACCCCCTGCTGGATCATTCAATGATAACAGCAAATGAGAATATTTTAAAGGCTCCTTAACGCCATTCCATTTTTCATTAGTCTCTTTGCACTAATCAGTGCTAAAAATGCTTTAGCTGTGATGTAAAGGAAATCATTTCTCACTGGCTGCCACACTGATCTAACATAACTGTATTATATAGTAACTTTAATATACGGCAGTACATAACTGTGTACATGCTCTTCTCCATGCTTAGAGAGAAGAGGATTGACGAGGAAGCCAGAACAAAGCCTGGCAGCAGCATGCAGAAGGTTTGGATTGAAATCTTTAACCCAACAGAGAGCGATAAAGGAAAATACACATTGGAGATGTTTGATGGCAAAGAGACACACAAACGGTTTCTTGACCTGTCGGGAAAAGGTGAGTGCAAATGTCATTTTAGTTTAAAGGTTTTAGATTGTGAGATCGTTTTTTCCCCAGATTTTTTATTGTGATTATTTTTCAAACACCCAACAGCTTTTGATGACGCTCTGTTGGAGCACCAGAGGTTAAAGTAAGTGCTACACCCAATGCACTGGATGAGATATCTAGGCTTTTACTGACACTGACAGAACAGTTTTCCAAAAGACAGAGGTCTTACTTGAAAACAGATTATCGTTGCCTGACACTGTGCAGTTCATTTTGATCTAACCCTTTGTTTTCATCCCTCAGGCAGCTGGCCATTGCAGAGAAAAGTGAGTGATAGGTTATGTGTTAATCCCAGGACATTTCTTTCCGTGGCAAAGATTAAAAGATTCTACATCATATGCCAGCAGAGAGTTATTTTTGCCTTTTTGTTTCAGATCGGGCTAAAGTGACAAAAGGCCTTCCTGATGTGGTAGCCATTATGGAGGGCAAGGTACAATAACTGTTTAAATCTTGCATATGTGCTTCTCTCTGTGACCTGCCATTTCATATCTTGTTTGCTCCTTCTCTTCAGTCTCTGTGTCTGACGTGCTACATTGATGGCGAACCAGCCCCAGAGATTTTCTGGCTTCGTAACGATAGGGAGATATTCAGCCAGGATCACTTTACAATCACTAAGGCGCCCAAGTGCAGTAGCATCACTATAAACAATGTCAACATGGAAGATTCTGGAAAGTACAGCATCTTTGTACGCAACAAGTACGGCTCTGAAACGGTTGACGTGACCGTGAGTGTTTACAAGCATGGGGAGAAACCTCCAGCTAATGCAGTGGAGTTGAGTTAGGACTCCAAACTGAGTCAAAAATCGATATTTCTGCAGGGAGTGAGGGTTTACCAAGATCTGCGCACATGTTACTTTTGAGAATTTCCTGCAAACAAACCACAGTATCCTCTACACCAGGATTTGCTTCTACTTTATTGGATGTGTCTAGTATTTTGCTTAATGAAACTCTTTTCGGCTGATTATCTTATAAAATACCACTATAGTAGCCAGTGTTCTGCAGTAAACAATGGTAGCATTTTCTGTAAGCAATTAGATACATATAGATATGATATGTAATTGACATTACGGAGCTAGTTTGCTGGCTTTTACTTGCTCCACTAGCACTGAATTTGCACTGCATTTTGTCATTTATCTGCTTTTGGTCATGCTGACAGTTTCAATAAGTCTCGCTTTAAGTGCTTTTGAAAAACCCTAAACTCTGATCTTAGTTTCCGTTGAAGCAGATTTGTATTTTGTGTGTGTGTGTGTGTAGTGAATAAAGGGATTTACAGCAATTTTTCTCTAGTGGATTACTTCTAAAATAGATTTTGCAATGAATGATTTCTTTTCCACTCTGGAAGCAAACAGTCCGCAGTGTCATTAACCTTTCTACTTTACCTCAGAGTGGTAGATTTACATTAGCAGGCTGGAGACGTGAATGAGGTTCAGTTAAGGTCTGCATATTAGTCATGTTTATGAAATGCTTTCATTTAGCATTTTCTTCTTTTCATCCTTAAACTCCTCTACGATTTGATATCCTTCTGATAAAAGGTTCGATTCTTTGTTTGTGTGCTCTTTTGCTGATTCAGATCCTTTGTCATAAATTGCAAGTGGAGCCTCAAAGAAGAATAGCTGTTCCTTTATAATACTAATGAGGATCAAAATAGTCAAGCTGTGAAATAGGCTGGCATGCATTTTACTGCCAAGTCCATGTGTGATTTGCACATCTTTCACACCAGTGAAGCTCTTAAACGCTAAATTTACTGAATTTACTAAATTTACCAATATGAATTGACCTTTGGTGAACGCTGTGTCGCCACATAGGTATAAATGAACTCCAGGTTATTCAAACATGTGATTACTTCAGAGGACGTTGTTACTCATTAGACATAGCACTGGGAGCCCTATACCATCAAGTATAAGAAGGTGGGGCATACGCTAGCAATATCCACATTGTGTTGAGCTTCACACAGCTGCCTCAGCCTCCCGCCACCTCAGTGAAGGAGAAGCCAGACCCTCTAAACAACATGGACTTCAGTGGAACGTGGCAGGTCTATGCTCAGGAGAACTATGAGGAGTTCCTCAGGGCCATGGGTGAGAAAAAAGCTGGGCGGTAAAGAAAAAAATCGATTATTTTCAGTAGCTGAAGTTGTAGGTTATTGTGCATAAATTAACAATATACATGTGTTCTGCTTAACAGAGCTCCCAGAAGATGTCATCAAAGTGGCCAAGGATGTCAAGCCAATCACTGAGATCAAGCAGAGTGGCAATGACTTTGTCATCACCTCCAAGACTCCCGGAAAGTCCGTGACCAACTCGTTTACCATCGGCAAGGAGGCTGATATCACCACCATGGACGGCAAGAAGCTCAAGGTTACTCATTTTTATTTAACTTCTTTTTTTATATGAAATATTATCTTGAATGCTAATTTACTTCAGGATGATGCAACTTTTGAGATACTAAAAAAATGCTGCATTCTCTTTATTCGTGAATCATACTCATATTTAGTAAACTGCCCCAGTTTGTGTTATGGCAACAGTACCACTGTTAAATTGGTCACTTATTGCTGCATCTGCTGCTTCTGTTTGACTAAAGTTCGGCCATCTGTGTCTAAGAATACTCCTCTTCCTACTGGAAAAGTAAAGTAAAATAAAATGACATGTTAGTAGGCCTGAAGATGTGAAGGGTTTAAATTCATTTTCTTGTCTGTTTTGAGGGTTTCTTTATGTGTATTGTCTCTTCCACTTCTCTGCAGTGCATTGTCAATATTGAGGGCGGCAAACTGGTCTGCAAAACTGACAGGCTCCGCCACGTCCAAGAGCTCAAAGGAGGAGAGATAGTTGAGGTAAAGTCCACCTTACCAGAATTCAGACAGTAGCAGCATCAAAAACCAAACAAACTATTTGCTGGATTATAATCTTAATATTGTCTGTAATTTAAAAGTGTTTTCTTTTCTTTATCCAATTTCAGACTTTGACCATTGGGTCGACAACTCTCATCAGAAAGAGCAAACGGATATAAACTTGGCAGCGAAGAAAGCAGTGTCTATTTAAATAAAAGTGTTGATTAAAAAAAGCAGCGTGTGTCATATTTCTGTCCCCTTATATTTGTAATGGTCTTAATAAGGTCATTGCTTTGTGAGGCCTTTTTTCTGTGTCTAACGTGTTTTATAAAATATTAACTAGGTAAACAAAAGATATCCATGCAAAGAAGCATTTGATAAAAGTTGTGTTTGCCATGTCGGCTATATTGAGAAATGTGCTTGTGGCTTGACATCCACACCATCCTCTAGTGGACTAGCGGGTCTAATGCACGCTATGCCGTGATACTGGTTTGGATAGTTCTGGGGGCTTGAGCAGGCATAAATCAGTTTCTATGGTCAGTGTGGGGATTTGGCTTCTGTTTGATGAAATAAAAAAGTAATTATAAATCAGGAAAGGTTAAGGTGAAAACTTAAGGAAGCTTTAAGCTTATAAGGTTATTTTAGGGAAATTTTGGCAAATATTTTAAAACATTAACTTTTAGGGAATTACATTTAATTTCAGGACTCTGTGATTGCCATATGTTTCTCTTATAATCACAGACAGTATGAAACAGATTTGTCACACATAAGGTCAGATTTTAGACTTTTAACTGTATTACATTTCCTGCTGATGAGGACCCTCCCTTTGGCCATTCACAATAATAACGTAATGAAATAATAGATCAACAATTAAATGGCAGTTATATACCATAGGAATTTCTGTGGATTCGAAAGACATTGAATTAACAAAAACTTTATAACTACATGACAGTCTCAGTAATGAACTAAATATTTTTTCTTTAATTTTGCACATTTAAGTCTTCCAGTCGTGCTGACAAACTTATTTCGTTTGCTACTTAATTGTAATGCAATTAAACCTCTTTACATTCACAGGAAGAGGGAGTTTCACTGATCCAATTATGCTCAAAGTAGCCTATATGTGGTCCACAATGTAAACTGTCAGATTGACATCCCTGTCTGAGGTCTGAGAAAGAGAGAGCAAGAGAGACCGTCGTGTTTTACTTCTAGGCATGCGCAGTGCCGAGAGAGCGCTCTGACTGACCACGTAGCCTGTCTCAGCTGCGGTACAGATAGCTGCAATACACGAATTCACGGCCTCTCTACAGTAGCAACGGGCCGCTGAAAAATGGCGAGATACCTGAGGCCTCCGAATACATCTCTTTTTGTCAGAAACATCGCCGACGAGTCCAGGTACGTTGTTACTTTCAACCCCGCCGGCGTGCAAGCAGGCATGGTCAGGCTAAATGTGACGCTAGTTAGTTAGCAAACATGTCAACGTGATGTCATCATCAAAATTAGGAAACTGACGTTAACGGTCAGAGAGCGACTCCGAACAGAGAAGCTGGCTACGGACAACACAACCGTGTAATATTTGGTAATACTTAGAAATAAGAAGCTGAAACATTCGTGTTGTTACTGAAGTTAACGCTACACCCTGACCTGTCTGAGGGGACAAAAAAAATAAACGACTGAAATACGTCTTTGAAACTGAACTAAAGGCTGGACAGCAGCAGTTCCTGCAAGTAAACTACAATATCTGTAGTTTACGCACTTTTGCACTATGCACTTTTTAATTATGGAATTTAATTTTATGTCCTTCCTATCATTAAAAAAATAATTAAAAATATTAAGGCAACACTTGAACATTACAGCCAATTAAAACTTCGGGCATATAAATAGTGAATTCATTTTATCTGCTTTGGTGCACGTGAAAGTGATAACAGGTGGATTGGAGAGGCAACAATACAACAGAATGGGTTTTGAAGGTGGTGGCCTCTCTCTATATCCCCTCTCACTTATTTTCTTGTTTTACTTTTTGCTGGTGCCCATGTCATTGCTGACATCATAAGACTGTGGTCCATTCGAGTTACAGAGATAGTCCACCTCTTACAGGATTGCACATCTTTAAGCCCTGTCACGAGGTTTGATTTGTCTCCCAGCACAGGCTTAAGGCAGTGGAAGGGATCTCAATGCACTTCAAGGTGCTCTGTTTTCAAATGAAGTTCAAAAGGCCTTTATCCTCAGGGCATGGCTGTTTAAGCTTAAACAAAAAGTTCAGGCACTTGCTTGACTGTGCTATGAGAGTAAAGGCATTTTAAATTTTATTTTAAACAGAATGTCTTTTGAGTGTTTTGAAATTTTAGCCAATGCGTATCCTTTCCAAAGAGTCCCTCAAATAGAATTGGTATTATTCTGACTGAATAACAGTCAGGAGTGCTGACTGACTCCACAAGACTGTTGAGGCGATCCCAGAAGACAGCCCATTCCTTCAGGGGAGTTTCACGGGGCCATAGAAGGGAATTGACCCAGCAAAAGGACCAGTATCTGCTCCTTTGTGTGAAGATGAACAGAGCCTTGCTCATGTGTGTGTTTCTGACCAAAGACTATGTAGGGCATCCTTTAGTAAGACATGTGCTCACATGCCATACACTGTGTTTGGCATTACCAGACAACACATAGAACTAGCCCGTTGTCTTCACGGATGCAAGTCCACAGTGAGTACATGTGCCAGGTGTGAGCGAGCCTGGAGATGCCATGACGAATGTCATGATGCCAGCTACAACATTGGCACCAAATCAGGTCAAATGGATTCACAATGGGTTATGCTTCCTAACTGGGGACATTGGTATCCCTAAGGTGTAACTGCCTTTGTGCTACATTGTTTCTGCTGCCAAGATTAAAATAAAAAATGTATTTGGAAATTAGCGTAATGAGTTCTGTTTGATAATCTAGAGGCCTAAATGTGAATAGTATGACTTAAAGTACTTATTATTAAAGATAATAAGTAGATTTTTAAGTGTGGTTGATTTCACAAAATAAAAAAATCACTTCTGTGAAAAGTGCCATATATGGGTTTTATGGCCGCAATGAATATGTGAAAAAGACAGTTTCTGGTTAAATTGCACAAATTCACCTTAAATGTCCTGATGAGGAAACTTCCTTATGAGTAAGAAAGTAATTCGGTTTATTTGCTGTTAAGCAATGTCCGATGCTTTGCTGGCGCCAACTCTTGTGTATGTGCTGCACACTGGACTCGAGCCAAATTCATATGGTAGCCAGCAGAATAAATGTGCTTATTTCATGACACTTTAGGCCAGAGGATTTACGGCGTGAGTTTGGTCGTTATGGGCCTATTGTAGATGTCTACATTCCACTTGACTTCTATACACGACGACCAAGAGGATTTGCTTACATTCAATATCCTTTATTCTTTCAGTTTATGTTCGTACTTTTTCACTAATGGATTGTAAAGCATCAACTCTGATCTGTTGGGTGCAGTGAATTGAGTAACACCTGATTTAATATTTCCCTTTTAAGAGGAGTTTTTGTAATGTAATTGTTTTTTTTGTTTGTTTTTTAATGCTTCTAGCATTAAATATACTCCTAACCAATATTTCTTCTGTTGTTGCCTCAGAATGGTAAAGATACAGGTATGGAGACCCCACACCAAAGAAAGTTGAAAGGCGGTTGTAGAGTAGATTCAAGCCAAAGACATCCAGGCGACAAGCAGTAGTGGAATTTGGAAAATAAAGACAGAGCAAAAGCATGAAGATACAAAGAGGACAAAAAAGAGAGCTTCCAGGCTTCCATTTGTCTACCAAAGGGAGGAAAAGAAAAGTGTTTATTGGGCAAAGACAAGCAGGAAACCTCAAGTTCTTCTGCCAAGGCTATAAAGATCAAGCTGAAGGTCAAGCATGTTAAAGGTAACAAGCCAGACTTTTTGTATCCTACCCAATCTGATCACCATTAGTATTTGTCTTGTCTTCACAATTTGAAGTCACAAATGGGCCTATTTTTAATGTTACATAATTTGAGTTGGTATTACGGAAGACGGTCAATTATAAATGAAAGAAATATGCTGAGATGATGAATTACTCTTATACATTTTTGGCCTCACTGATCCAGTAGCTGTGTGGTGTTTTTTTTTTTTTGTTTGTTTGTTTTTTTTGTGTGTTTGCTTTTTATTTTACTTGTGTTGCAGCTGCTTGCTGTTTTTTTTTATTTATTTTTTTTTATTATTGCATGCGTGCAGCTTTCAGCTCCACCTTTCCAAATTAAAAGTCCTTAACAATCCAGCATGTTTGAAGATGTCCGGGATGCAGAAGATGCTCTTCACAACCTGGATCGTAAATGGGTTTGCGGGCGCCAGATTGAGATCCAGTTTGCACAGGGAGACCGCAAGAGTATGACCCATTGGCATTCCTACTTGAGCTTAACTGCACCATCTCCTTTTGGGAAATGTGTTGTATTGTTACATAACCTTTTGATGTGGATTTGTCAATAAAGCCCCTAATCAGATGAAGGCCAAGGAGCGCCACTCCCCTCGCAGTTTCTCTCGCTATGAGGATGATCGGGATACCCGCAGAAGACGATCACGGAGTCGCAGTTATGATCGCCGCAGGTCCCGGAGCCCTTCTTTTGACCGTCGCCCTCGGAGGTCTGAGAGCCCTAGAGAGTGAGTTCTTGGCAACTTTTACACCTTTTAAAGAATATAAGACATTAAAGTTCACCAAAAACATAATTATATAAATGTAGTAAGTGTGAAGGAGTGCTCTATGGATGTTTGCAGCTCTGAAACCAGGCACTTGCAAAGGAGGAGGAAAAAAGAAAGGGGAAAGATGGAGGGGCAATTTATGACTCAATAGAGTGGGGGGGGGGGACGTGTGTGTACATACTGGGGCTGCAACAATTCGAGTAACATGAATATAAATAAAATTCTCAGTGCAAATTTTTTGCTTCACTGCTTTGTTTAAACTCTGTAGCACTCAGATGTCATTATGTAAGTGCAAGCGTTTCACACACGTTTTGTATTAAAAATAAATATGCAATAGAAATATATCTGGCGCACATGTGCAAATTAGAAAAATATTACAACATTGAGCCCAAGCAGCCCCCAATTTTTCAACAAAAAAACGGATAACACAACAGCAGCAGGGAAGATGCTGTCATAGTTTATCAGGGAGATGCCGTGTGGGTAGTTGGCACTCTGCCTCTGCTCTGTGTGGGTAGACAGTGCAGAGGCAGAGCAGTTACTGAGATGCTGAGCTCAGCTGGGGTTAAAGCAAACATTTTCTAGTGTGCAAAACAGCAGCACTTATTCCTGCAAGCATTATTAAAACCTTTATTTGGAAAAAGCTGGTGGGAGTTCTCCATCAAATCACCTGTTTAAAAACCTTCAACGTGAAGAGAAGCAAACTCTGTAGCCATCCTCATTTTTGTTTTTTCCACAAGGAAAATCTACAGTAAAGCTACTGAAGTTAAAATATGGAGATGGGCTGTTAGCTTAGTCTGATAAGATGTTTAGATTAGGCAGCTAGCTAAAAGCTGCAAGCAGCTGTCCTACTTTATATCACAGCAATACCTGCAACAGGGGTGACTCAACGAAATGGGGACATAGGGTTTAGTAACCCATATTTATATCAAAGCTTTAATAACGTTATGCAATCCAAATCCACAACATAAAATATACAGTGTTATATTAATTGTATCAATATTTAATAATATAAAAATAAAAGTTTTTTTTCACAGGCTGGTCAAGCTATAGAAGGGCCAATAGCTGCCCTCTTTGCCACCGGAGAGCATTGAACAACACTTCAGGAATTTGGAGTTATCATAAATGTTAACATGCTAACATTTGCCGTTTAACTATTAGCAACTAAATGATAGCAACATTAGCCACCTGTCATCAGTAATGTAGCAGCCTGTGGACAGTGAGTCACAACTTATTATGGACAAATGGAGAACGACACAGGTTACTGGCTGTGCAGTGTCAGGGGAACAATAGCTGAACCGAGCAGAGAATCCAGAGGTTTGTTGAACTAGATCTGAAGACCAGAGCTGAGGATCTAACGAGCTGCACACTGCAGCAGAGAAAATAGTGGTTTAAAGAGAGACTGTAGGCAATTGTGGACAAAATGACAAACTTTAACTTTTCTACTTACAAAAATGTTTTGAAAAATGTCTCATTTAGTTTAGCCAGCTTTGACTTGGCTTTGAAATTGTTTTGTGACAAAACCTGAGACAAAAACATGCATTAAAACATACACATGATCACACATCAAATCTACCTAATCCAGGAGCTACAACCCTGTCAGAACTTGCCTGCTGTAAGAAATCTTTTGTGTTTACATGTATGTATTCACGTATATAATACAAAGGGTGGGGGTGGGGTACTGCAGGGGCTGGCAGAATTTTACGTATATATGTGACTGTTTGTTGTTTTCGTTTGTTTGTTTTCTCAGCTTCAATCTGGGATTTTGCGAACATAACACTTTTTAGACATAACTAATTGTTATTCTGTTAAATTAGGACGTTATACAGGCTGGACTTTTTCTCATTTTCTTCTTATCCCTCACTTTAACGTTTTTGTTTGATTATTAGCTATTGCGACTGGCCACTACTTTAATGATAACGTAACAAGCGGTTAATGTGGCTTTTTCACAAATGTACTTTTAACTATAGCAGATAGATCCACATTAAAATTATTTGATTTGGCACAGTTTTTACACTGCATGCCCTTCTACACATAACCCTCCCATTTATCTAGACTCTGGTCTAGGAGTGCACTAGCTTGTGACTGACTTGAGTTTGGGTTTCTGTCTTTCACTGTCTTTTACGTTTACCGGTATAACTGTTTAATATGTCAAGGGTATTGAAACGAGAGCTTAACCAGCTTTTCAACATCCCTCAAAGAATTGCTCGGTTGACTATGTTGCAATTTTGAATTATGCAAATTAGCAACTTGCTATTCTCATGATGAGCTGGGGACCTATCCAGGTTATAGCCCACCTCTCAACCCTGAGATAGGCTTCATATCCTGCCCCTGCAACCCTGAGTGGAATAAGCGGTAAAGAAAACTGATGGGTGAATGATGGATTGAGGAAACATGGTGGGTGTATCACTCGTCTCTCTGGTGGAACTTTAAAGTAGAGCCTATATTTAGTATTAATTTCCTCATAATTACAAACTGATATGCAATACATTCCTTGGAATTCTGTTTTTTGTTTGTTTGTTTTTTACATTTAAATATTAAATTAATTGACAGTTGTCATTACATTTAAAAAAAAAAAAAAAAAAAAAAAACAATTCTGTGAACTTCATTTACCAAAATGTAAGTGAACACAGTCTGAAATGGCTCTCATGCTGTTGGCTGATTGCAACTTTGTGCAACACAGTTAACTAAAGCAGTCATTTAGCAAGTTTGGAGTGTCATTGCTTTGAAAGTGACCAGTCACAATAAGACCAGTTCCTGCTGTGGTTCCTCCCCTCTGTCATTTAACTTTAAAGGAGAGCTTGTACACTCTGCAGTGTTCTGAGACGAATGTGCTGTGTGCCTGGTGGCTGTTGTGCACTTATTTCTATGTGCTGACATGAGTGAGTCTACCACCTCTTGTGAAATATTTATTTGTGACTATGTTTTAGTTATGATCTGCTTGTGACATGTGCCATAAATGTAGTTTCCTGTAATTGTGTGGGCCATGCGCAGCGTGTGAGAGGGCATGATGTTTGCAGGTTTGTACACAGAAACTTTGGACGATGTCCGAGCGTGGCAGTTTCTGCAGGAAACAATTTATGTAATAAAGAGGAAGCCATATACTGCTTGTATGTAGGCAAGCCATGCTGTAAGGATATGAAGTAATTCACTCAAACTGTACAGTAACTCAGCAATTTTGTTTTCTTGTTCCCTCTTCAGCTCTCGATCCTACAGCCGACACAGAAGAAGCAGAAGCCATGAAAATAACAAGTGGGCTCATTTCTGTCCTCTTGTATTTCAGTAATCATATAAACATGGCACTGTACTCTGTAATGATAGTAACTGTAATGATAATCCCAATAGGCACAAAGCTCCTCCCAGTGACCACCACAGAACGCACCATGAAACGGCCTCACACTCCACCTCCCGCTCCCCATCAGCGTCCAGGTCAAGACCAAAAGGTAAAAAGAGCCAGTCCAGGTCTCACAGCCCTGCCGAAGACTTCCACCCATCCCAGAAACAGTCTGTCAGGAGATCCCCATCACGCTCCTACTCTAGATCCATGTCCCGGTCACGCTCTCGCTCCAGGTCCTGGGCTGGACGCAAGTCTGGAGGCCACTGACAGACTGTTCTCCAAAGCCCTGTTTAATGTTCACCTCTAGCCATTTTGGACATGCATTACTTCACATTGTTGGCTTCATTAATCTGGTTAATGATTAATTAACTGGTTAATAATGTTCTGTTACGTTCCTCCCAGGGTTTTTTTTTTTGTTTGTTTGTTTTTCCCCCCAGACGTACAAGCAGCAGTGACAGGAGAACCACAGTATGTGTGCACAAGATTTTTGCTTTTGTAGCTACAAGCATTATCAGTATTGACTCTAGCGTGTATAACATTTGGTTCCCTGCTCTTGCTGCTGAGAACTGCACCAATTCCCTACCACACAGAGAGAAGGCTACCTTCTGGATTGGGAAAGTTCGTAACAGAAGAATACCTTATATTGTAAATTTAAAAAAAAAAATTATTGGATATAAGCTACTACTGTAGTGAGCTATGGAACTCATGCAGAGCAATGATTTTGTGCGTCACTATCTATCAATGTAACTGCATGCACTCAAAGTTGAATGCTTCAAGGTCCAACTGTGTTAAGAACTGCTGTTGTGACCTTTATGAAGAGACCAGGGTGCAAGTAGACATGTTAAAAGGTTGTATTTATAGAAAGGTGTGCATGTGTGAAAGGAGTCTTGTGCTTCCTGCTTTCATTTCTTATTTGAATACGGAGGAATCTCTTGCCAAAGGTAAATAAACAATTTTGTTATGTTTGTAAGAAAAGCACATTTGGCTCCTGCTTTTTTTTTTTTTTTTTTGTACATGTGTTAAATTAAACTGAAGGCCTGCTTTGCCAGTATTCACAACATGCCCTGGTCTGGTTTAATTTCAGCAGGCCAACTTGTATACTATAGTTATTGTAATTGCTGTGACAATGAAAGATATGCTGATACAGCTGGTACCCAATAATAGTCATTTTGTTATGTAATAATATACTAAAGATAAGAATCAATTGTTTTTCGTGTCCCTAAGTAACTCCCTTGTTTAAACTGTTATACCTGATATCTTTTGACAATAAATACATTCTTACACTCCTCTAGTTGAACAAGCTGTGTTGTAAAGGTAGTGTCAAACAAGTGTTACTATATCAAGTCAAAAATACTCAAACACAAAGTAGGGGGGTAGGGGAGGGGATTTAATTTTTTGTTTGAGGTTGTTTTTTTTTTTCGTTCAAGTTTTTCATCAATTCAAAGAGTGCTTTCTTGTTTTACATTTTGTAACAAATTAACACCAATTGTAAACAGGGCACATTTCATTGTTCTTGGTGACATTTCATCCGAGGGACAAATTAAAAAGCCAATTCACTGATTTAAATTTTGAATATGGAGACTGCCATGCATGATTTAGTCTGGGCAAGAAAAAAAAGTTTACATGAACCAAGAAAAGGCAGTAATTAAAATAATAGACATTTTCAATTGTCAGCAGGCGGAAGAACAGCCAAGAACCGAAAATGTCTGGAAAATATTTGGTCAACTTGGGAATTTCCACCAATGATTATGGTCAGTTTCAGTATGAGTTTTAACTTAGGCACAGTTTTTCTTTTTTGTAAAAAAATAAAACAAAATAAAAAAGTGCTATGCTTACACACCATTGTAAGCACATTCACAACTCAAATCTATACATATGCAAGTCTCCTAGAGTCCAATTGGGAGGTTTTTTTTCTATTTTACTTGTTTTTCCCATTTAGCATCTTTCAACCTACACTGCACAATACACAATAAAAAATGTGCAATAACTCTGGAAAGATCAGAGTATAGGGGTACTGATAGATGCTATAGGCAGCTTTTTTTTTTTTTTAACAAAAATATTCTTCAGTATTGAAGTCAAGACATGACCTTAGCATGTCTCATACATTCAGTGTTATTACTAAAAATACTTTTGTCAAACAGGCCACAAACTTGGCCTGCAAATGTACATATGCTACAAGTGTTTTATACAGTTCATTATTTACATGGCTCTTGAACTCACAAGCTTTCATACTTTGTTTTGTCATCTTTAAGCTGGCCATGAATGGCTCCAATTCTGCAAAGGGAAAGCAAAGAGCCTCAACAGAGAACTGAAAGAGAATCCATAGAAGATAGTCAATTACGCCTCCGTTAATTGAACAGCATCCTGGCCTGTAACTTATGAAAAAAAGAAAACAGTCTGATTGCAGTGCAGAAGGTTAAGGGACAGAAGTGCAAGAGACAACAGGCAGCAAGTGTCTGTTGATTATGGGGTAGTTAACCATTGAGACTTAATTTGTAAACACAAACACCAGCCTCCTGTCTCACATTGAGGCGCTTGGGCCTCTTCAGAAACATTCCTTAGCTCTGTCTCGCCTTGTGCACAAAAGCATACAGCCAACAGGGCCAGGCAATGTGGAGTTTTTTTGAGAAAACAAAACTCAGTAGTCCCACATTTAAGCAAGGCCCCCTTCCGCATGTTGGAGCTGCAGGCACTGTCCTGAAGAGGCAGAGACTGAGGAGCAGTAACGGTACTGATCAGAACAGATGAACAGGTGATCAAGGAGACGTCAAACCATTCACTTCGAGTTGGCAAGTGGAAATGGCAACACTGCCTTCTGCCCAAATGTCCAAAAAAAGAAAAGCAAAACATTGCTTTGGTTATACACAGCACATTATACATCTTTCAACAACCACAACAGAAAGCACTTATACAAAATAATGCTATGATAAGAGTGCTGTAGACCTTGGACACACTCAACTCCAAGTGCATGTGCGCACAGCGCAGTAAAAAAGGGTACGTGAGTTGGTGGTCCAAAGCCAGTGTGCCATGGTCTCTTACTACCCTTCGTTTGAGGTTATACCATTAACCTGTAGTTACACTACAGCTCATCTCCTGTAAAATATCTTTTTTTCCCTGCAGAACTGCAGTTGAGTGCCTTCTTTAGCCAAACAATGAATGTGATATATAAACAACAGTGGGCCCTTGATTAAAAGAAATAAAATTGCTACAAATATGAACCTGCTTTAGCACCTAAAGCTTAAGGAGATAACTCCAAAGATCATTCTTCATAGAAACATAAATGAAACACCATGTCTGTCCAAAGAAGTGGACCGTAAAAGTGATGGGAATTTACCTGACTAATGTTACCATCCTTGTTTGGGGAAAAAAGCACACTCAATCTGCCTTGGCAGCCAAGATTAAAAATAACAAAACAAAACATAAGTACAAAGAATATCCAGTTTGTCATAGTCACAGAAACTCCGCTAAAGGCATCACCGACCAGCAAGGCTGCAATTCTGTAAATTTTAAATGATCAGTTTTTTTAAAATGGATGGTAAACAGGAATTGCAAAACATTGCTCCTGTCAAGCATCCACCAACTTTGAAGGTCAGCCAAAAAAAGGAGAGAAAAAGAAAAGAGCTAAAAATACTACAGAACTGAGGCGTTCCTGGTGGGTGGGTCCATGCATTGGCTTATTTTTTTTCTTTAAATGAAGAACTGGTATCACCCCCATCAGGCCTGCACCTTCAGGAGGCTCTTGAGCTGGAAGGTCATAACTTCCCTGTTGTCACAGGAGCCGATAGGGAAAGACACCCAGTGACTAGGGGGTTTGGGCAAAACACTGGGTGAAGGTGGCTCACTGAATTTAGGCCCTGCATAGCTTGGGCTGCCTTGGGTTGCCAGGAGTGTGTTGAGATGAGACACTGCACCCTCCCAGTTCTGATCATAGTTGGTGGAAAAACGGACAGAAGCATTCTTCTCTGCAGACACGGCCTGCCGTGTCTCTGGAGACCTGTGGTAGGCAGCGCCTTTCTCGCCCCGTCGGTGGCTGTGGTGGTGAAGGCCCCCTGCCCCCCCTACGGATGCAGCTGCTCCGTTCTGGTCACGGCTTCGCTGCTTTGCCCGGCCAAGCTGGTGGTTCTTCTTGGCCAAAGGGCGCTCAGGGTGGGTAACTGGAATGTTGTACCTCTCTCCACCTCCCATACTGCTTTTGCTCTACGTGTCACCTAAATTGTGAGAATAGTATTATTAAAAATAAACTCTGGTTATACATTTCTATTCAAGCTAATAATCTATGCAATTACAGCGCAAGTTGTTTACCACCAACCGCGAGCACAGGCGCACCACATCACAATAAAAACAAGTACAGAGACTACGTGCAGAAACACCAGACAGCGAGGCTCGCCCATCCCCCACACGGACACCAGGAAAACAGCGCCAGCTCACCTCTTTGTTGTCAGAAAGTTAACCGAGTAGACGTCTCTCTTCAATCTTTCTCCTCCAATAGGGCCCCAGGTCCTCGAAGTAGTCTTCTGTCTACCTCTCGCTGCACATTTGTGTCCAGCAGGGTCTGAGGTTTTCATGTGCCAATAAGCGTTGTTTTCTCGTGAAGCCGAGCTGAACATCAATTCACCTCGGCGCACGATACTCCAAGAAGTCGCCGACCCTTCAGGGCATTATCAAAAGACGCTTATCAGATATGCTAACTTGACAGGACTTAACGTCCATTAGATATGCTAAATAGACAGGACTCAACATAACAATAGCGCTCACAGTGTTGTGACGTGTGACTGGGAACTGACGTTTTCTTCAAATATTCTATTACATAACATTGAAGTACCGACAAAATGACATTTCCTCGCCATTACATTTATAAAAACCCTGCATAAAACTTGTAATCTATAGCGATTATCACACGAAAATGTTATGTAAGAAAAGTGCGACATCATAGCCCACTTCTGTTTGCTCAGGCTGGGCTTAAACTGCGGCCAATTTTTCCCTTGTTCTTGTGTAGTAAATTAATAATAAAACGAAATAGTTTGTATACCCTTCATATAGGATCATTTAATTAATTAGCAAATCCAGTGGTTCAAAGTCTAACGGGTTTTTTTTATGATCTAGGACGCTCTACTTTGGCACAGAACCAAAACAAAGAAACTCGGTTTAATATGGCGACGAGGTACAAAACTGTTTCTTACCGACTTCTTCAGGCTTGGTTGTTAAAGCCTTTCGTCAGAAAAGAATTTACAGTTAGCTTCTAAACTCCCTCTACGGACTATGTAGGAAGCACAGCAAACTATATCTCCTACAAATCCGTCACTCTCGAAGCTTATTTGGTGTTAAAGGCCGGTGAAGAGATCTCACTTCTCTCTCTCCCGACTCAGAATTGCGACAAAATGGACTCTACAGCAGCGGTATGTACTCCCTTGCAACGCAAATCTAACCAATCATAAAGCGACTACGAAATAAACAACCAATCACCGAAGAGGCAGTCGACAAGTTGCCTGTTGCCAGACTGGTGACGTTAATTGCCGACCCTCCTCTCCTTGCCTTTGTTGGAGCTCGGGTATTTCCCGAGAGAAGTGAAATAAAGAAGAAAAAAAAACACCACTTTCGGGCTCTGGAAGTTAACGTAATAGACAGGAAATACCCGAGATGGCACGTAAAACATTACATAAAGGTTTAGAGTGAGCATAGAGGCAGTTAAGTGTTATGTAACACCAAGACACCAAGCATGTACGCTACCCCTTCGGTTAGGTTGTAAACACGTCCAGTGTTTAGATTTACTGAGGTTTGTGCCACAGGAAACTGTTTTGGTTTGTTTTATCACATTTCTTGCTTTGTCAGGTTAACCCTTTTTATGCCCACTTGACACAGCAGCAACAGGCTGTAATAACAATGTCTATGAGGGGTTGTCCATCCCAAAAGTGTTTTGTTTTATTTAAATTCATTGGGTAGAGGTCTTAATAAGGGTTGGGGGGCTATATTACATATATTACCCTGTTTGTCCCTTTAATGTTGGTCTCACTTTTCCTCCCAATCTTTTCAAAGGACTTTGAGGTTTGACTTCCATGGCAGTCTTCCAGTAGGTTTTATGAGCGCGGGCAGGGCTAAGTGTCATCGGTCTGTGTCATCGAGGCCTTGCCTTCTTTTCTCGCCTGGATTTTTAAAGAGTTGCACAACGCTGCTGAAGGCTGAAGGCCATGGCAAGGCAGGACACTCCCCAAAGCAAAGTAATCTCTGAAATGGGGCTGTGCCAATCAAGAGTCAGCTACGTACGGAAAGTAGGTCACCCAGAGACTGGGTAGGTCGCTAGAAACACATGGGGGGTGGAAAGGACTACTCGCCATATTTGACTGGCTGCAGAAGCCAAGCAGTGTCAACACGTCACACAGATAGTGTACAATTGGAAAGTTGGATGGAAACTTTTTTCCTCACACAGAGAAAAAGAACAAAATTACAGATTATCTATTGGCCTGATTGTTTACGGAGTCCTGTTGGCCTACAAACAAGTGATTGAAGTTATGAATATGAACTTGAATGGTGCAAAATGTTTGTCATATGCCCACACAAAGGGAAGTGGGGAAAGTACAGAAGCAGTTTCACACAGCTCAGCAATAAGTTCAGTACATATAAAGAAAATCTGTACTCTCAGTAAACATATTCAAATTAAACCTTGTGCATTAGTTACTTAACAAAGAAACTTAATATGCTATAAAAGTAACACATAATTTACAGAATTTAAATATTAAAATGAAACCCATGGTGAAATTGATCTATAAGTGGGTTTGGGTAAAACAGGCACATTAAATTGGAGGTCCTTCTCATCCCTACTGTTATGATTTATTTAGTTAGCACCACAGTGCGCAGATGAAGTTGGTACACTCAGATAACACTTTTTTTTTTTTTTGAAGATGTGCCAGCCGCAGATGGTTTTCTGTGAAAAATGCCCACAGAGCATATTTGGAATGAACCACTGAAACCAAACAGGAAAAAATACCTTTTCAGATGAAAAAGTTATTGTTGACGTGTAGTTGACAGAAGTATTTTCATATGTAAATAT